CCCAGCCCCACCAGATGTGGAGTCTCGAGGCCTGCCACTCACCTTCACGGCGCCCTTCCCACCGCATAGTGAGACCTGATTGCTGGCTCATTAGTTTGGTTTTTAGTTTGAACGTTTAACTTAGTAATAGCTTCACTCACCAGGCAGTAGAAGACCCTAAGATACAGGTGGTCTTGAAAACACAGAGGCTATTTCTGGGCCTTCCTTTCTCCCTCCATGACATGTGTGTGTGTGTGTGTGTGTGTGCGTGTGTGTGTGCGTGTGTGCACGCACACGTGTGCCTGCCAGTCCTGGGGGTTGAACTCAGAGCCTGGGTGCTGTCCAAGAGCTTTTATTTGCTCAAGGCTAGCACTCCACCACTTGACACACAGCTCCCCTTCCAGCTTTTTTGGTGGCTCACTGGAGATAAGAATCTCACAGACTTTCCTGCCTGAGCTGGCTTTGAACCATGATCCTCAGATCTCAGCCTCCTGAGTAGCTAAGATGACAGGCGTGAGCCACCAAACATCCAGCTAATCCATGACTATTTGGATCAGTGTTTTGCCAGGGGTATCACACACCCCTTTTGCCGGCGTTCATTGGCTGGGGTTTCCATCTGCATGCATGCTGTCTTCTCTTCATTTGCCCCTTTTAAATAGAATCAGTGTAAAAGGACAGGAGTACCGACATCTCAAACCTGTTGTCCATCTGAGAAGGAAGGCCTGGTCCGTGAGCAGAGGCCAAAGGTTCCAATCAGGGATGGTTGGAGCTGCTGAGCTGGGAAAGGCGAGGCCTGGTCTCCAGAGTTGCAAGTGGACCCCACCGTCCTGTCAGGCAGGAGCAGATCGGAAATGCCAGCTTCCCCGGGAGCTTGGTTTCAGTTTTCTCTTGTACCACCACCAAACTGTGGAGAACCTGTGGTGACCCCAAGGCTGAGCCATCCCTCTAGCAGAAACACCCGGAGCTGGAGTGCTCTGTGTTCAAGGCGTGCTTCCAACTTTTCCCTGGGGAACCGCGGTGACTCCGCAGGCTCATGGTCCTCGGCTTTGCTCCAGTTGTTAGAGTGGGATATACTCCATCTCCTCCTTCTCAACCATCCTCCCTACTCGTCTCGGTCTGTGTGTGTTCCGTTGCACTAATTCACCAAATGCATATTGTGACACTGTCTGGGGGGCTTGTATTTGTATTTACCACTAGAGGTAGAGAAAACGGGCGTTTTCATTTGCAAACAAGCCCGATCCTTGTACATGAAGAAGGGCTCCGCCATTGCTCTCATTTCCTTTCAGCCGATCTCCACATGAATCTCTCCTGGTGTGCTTTCCCTCTCCCCTCCTTTCTTGCATTGGGTTACTGTCCCCGTGGCCCCCTCCCTGCTGTCACCGCTGGCCCTTGTCCAGCCCCAAGAAGCTTGAGACCCAGGAAGAGCAGCCACGCTGCCTGATGGCAGCCGTCTGGTCTCCCCAGACTGCCGCTGGCTGCAGAGCTTGGCTCCCATTATAAGGACCACGGTGGGGGGAGTGGAAGGGACTTCCCCGCGCCCTCCTCCACCCTCGGTGGCTCCTCCCCACCTTCAGCGCACATCTTCCTTGCCTGGCCTTCCATGTCCCTCCATTTTCTGTCACTGCCCATCGATAGCTTGCTTTCCTCTGTGGCTTTCTCCAGGGCCCCCAAAGCACCCCCCTTCACCCTCTTTTTGTGCGTTTTTAACCAAATGAAGCAGAGAAAGGCATGGCTGGGGGGAGGGGCGGGAGCAGGCTTTCTAGTTTCGTAGATCTGTGTAGATAGAGATGTTGATATATATGTTTGTGCAGATATATATCAAACCAAATCCTGATAGGAAAAGTATAGCTTTACGGATGTGGAGGAAGAGGAGCCCTTGGGAGGTGAGAGCGGCCTGGACTTGTGGGACCAGCCCTGCGGCCTCCACACACAGGGCAGCCACGCCCCCCCCGGGGGGGGGGCCTCCGTGTCCAGCCTCATCAAAGGCATGGGGGGAGGCAGCAGATCAGATCAGAATGACTGGAATTTTCCATCCCATTTTGCTTTGACCACATGTATTGAGCTGTGGCCTGAGATTTTTAGCACGTTTCCAAAAATGGTATCCATTAGGATGGTAAGAGAACAGATCTGTGAAAATGTTTACCCAGGAATTCAGGAGACTTTGGATAGAAAGACACACTCCCCAGAATAAGGACAGGGAAGAGGAGACCTGGCAACACTTAGTCGTGTACCCCACCCACCCACCCCCACACATCTAAGGAATGTGGCTCCCTCCCCAAAGTCATCTCGTCTAGATCTTTCTCTAGCCAGTCATCTCAGCTCAATCTCAGTCACCCTGCGAAAGCCCTGCGCTGTTGTGTTCCTTCACTGTACGGTTTCTGTAATAAAAAGTGTTAATCCATGTTAATCTGTGTGGAAATTATTGCGTGCAACAGTATTTTCTCGTGTATCCTTCTTCCTCTGTGAATTGTCCCTCTTTTCTTTTTTATTTATAAATGTCTACTTTTTTAAAAAATAAAAAGACAAACCAATGTGTTGTAGACCTATACGTAACCTATTCCTTAGTCTCATATTATAGGTATGTTATAAGAATGGATATTTTACTTGGCTTTAGAATGTTTTTTTCAAGAAAACAGATTCTTAACTGATCAAGTCTTTGCTACTAAAATGCGTGTGGTTTTCATCCGGATGTCGCGTGCTTCTAAATAAATAATCATTTTCGTTGTAGAAAAATGGAGTGAATTTATATTAGTCTTGGAAACTAATAATAGCATTGTAAATTTATGAGATGATTTTAACAGAAAAAAATTATAGAAGAATATAGTTATTTTAATTGTAATATTACTAACTGTAGGGTGAGGGGGGTCTGTTGTGGTGAACTGTTATAGCTTGTTACTCTCAGTTTCTTTTTGATCATTTTTTCGGTCTCTGAGGTGAAACGAGTTATTAAAATTTGTAAACTCACATATGCATATTGTATATGTGTAGAAATGTAATCACACTTTGTCTTGGAATTACATTAAACTGTTTGGAATCACTGTACACTGCCTCACATGGTTGTTTGGTTTTTTTTTTACCCCAAAGACACACAGGTTATAAGACCACAGCCTCAAATAAAAATAAATAAAATAAAGATCACAGCCCCCCCTTGCTAGGCAAGCTCTCTGCCACTTGTCCCACACATCCCGGCCTTTATTTCTTGCCTTCAGTTTGTTTTCAGCCAAGGTCTCATGCTTTTGCCTCAGCTAACCTTGAATCTCAATCCTCCTGTCTTATTCTCCCAAGTAGCTGGGATTGCAGGTGTTGACTACCACTACTGGCTGCAAGCAACATCTTTTGGAAGTTAATTCGCTCTTCTGAAATTGCTGAATGTCTTGGAAAATGTTCATAGCCCACCCATGAAAATGTTCAAAGTCGCTGGATAAATTACGGCTAGTTCCTGGGCAGCTGGGGTATGTCCTAGCTCCTCATCTCTTTGGAGCCATCCTGACCCCATCTGTACTCACTGTGCATCCTGAGGCTCCAGACTACTGTCACCACTCCTGCCAGCCTGGCACCCATCACCCTGGACCTGCAATCTACCCACTGCCATGTCTGCAGACAAGCTCCAGGTGGGAGGGGGCCTCCCCAAACAGCAGTCGCGGACCACATCCTCAGCCCTCAGCCCTCTCCGAGCTTCCCCACATGCAGGGGCAGGCCCAGAATTCTCTCAACACTTCATCGAACACTCCAGTCAAGTCTGCCACTGGATCCCCAGTAGAGACAAAATCAGAAGGCACAAAATCAGAAGGGTGAAATGTCTGAAGAAGATGCAGGAAAGTTAGCCAACACCAGCGGCAGCTTTGAGGAATGGTAGACGCAGGAAAGGGCTGAGCCAGCAGGACCTGGTTTCTGAACAAAGGCCAGGCCGTCTCAGGTAGGTGTCCACATCTCACCAGCCAGGGGCACCAGGAGGAGGCTGGAAAGGCCCAGGTCCCACTGCGGCTTATGCCGGCATCTTGGGACACTGGGAGCTCGGCGGGCCCTGCTTCCTGGTTCCCAGGCAGAACAAGAGGTGGCGCAGGAAGAGGCTAAAAGACCTCAGAGACTCTTCCCCGGTGATCATCACCCAATACCCCATCTCCTCATCTTCCCTCAAGGCAGGATAACCCATCTCCCTACCCTGTTCCAGAACATTCTAGAACATTTCCTCTGCTCCTTGGGAGACAAGGCCATGGACTCCTGATGCCTGGCATGGCGTCTAGCACATGGTAGGTATGAATAAACATTTGTCATCTTGCCCTGAATACTGATGAGTGGAGAATGCTGATGAATACAGAATGGAGCCTATGCTTTAGACAGTTAAGAACACGGTAGCCTGCCAAAAGGAGAAAAGACCCTGAGGCCATAAAATAGATTTCTTGGGTCCCTTTTTCTTTTTTCTCTTCCATTCTCAAGGTGGCTGCTGCAGATGGAGCTCCTCTGTGCCTCCCCCGAGCTGTGAGCCTAGAATAAATAACAATAACCACAGACTTCGCTGGACGCCAGCCATCTTTTTATTCCGTTAGTGATCCATACAACAGCACCACGGACACAGCAGCGGCCCTGCCTGAGGACCCTGGGAAGGCAAAGAGGGCAGATGGACGCAGGGGCCTCCGGACCTGGGCTGGATTGGGGGGGGTGAGGAGGAAGCCTTGCCTTACCTGCCTTCCCCAGCACCCCGGAAGAGGAGCCATGGGGGAGGGTGGAGCTTCATGGCCTCCTTGCCAGCCCTCCAGCTTTCCCCAAGCACCAGGGCAAAGGAAGGGCTTGTGGGTAGCTACGAGTGGGCGGAGCAGGGCCTGTGTGTGTGTGTGTGTGTGTGTGTGTGTGTGTGTGCATTTGCATATGCATGTGTGCTACTTAGAATATGGGATTTAACTGCTCAGCCACAGGACCTGCCTGGGGACCGAGGAGACCCAGAGAGAGGGGACAGGGCAGAGACGCCCCACCCCGCCGCTTCCACGTGGCTCCCATTGGAGGCCAGACTCAGGGCGGACGCCGCCTCCAGCCTGCGGTCCCTCACGTGTAGGCCATCTTGCTGCACACCCAGGGCCGGGTCATGAGACACTCTGTCGACACCAGCCTGGTGGGCTCCACGAACACACATTCCCCTGGACCGGAGATGCTGAATCTGTGCCAGGAAAAGAAGACACCAGGCATTTGGGACTGGCACGGGCAGCTCATGTCCCTGCAAGTACTGCGGCCTGTCCTCCATCCCCACAGCAAAGCACCCTGAGACGCGGCCCATAACACCTTTCCCTGTCTCCCTGTGCTGTGCCCTGGCCCTGTGGACCACCCCTCTCCCAAGCTCCCCCCACCCGTCCTCCTCTGTCCGTCTGCACTCCGCTGTTACATCCAGGGTCAGCGCTGCGCCCCGCACTCCGCAGGGCCCGGTTTGGGAGCGCGCTCTGCCTGTTCCCCCTCAGCGTCCTGCCTGCGCCAACGAGCAGCTCGCATGACGCTACCTTGAAGGGGCTGTGTCTGTCCGTCTGTCCCCACCAGTTCTCACGTGAGCCAGCTCCTAGACAGTAGGCTCTGCACAACTCTCATCTTGGCTTCCCAACCGTGCTACAGAGCACACGGTGAGAGTTCAGGAGAGACGGACGGAGGAAGCCATCCTCACAGCCTCACGAGCACCGCAGCTCTGGGCTGCGCAGCCCGAACTCACTGAAACCATGCGAGGACTAGCTCTATTATTAGAAACCTGCGTCTCCCCTGATTTCAGCTACCTAGCCGCTAAGGGGACAGCAGAAAGACCCCTGACCCCCAAGAAGTGCTTGCCCTGCGTCAGCACTTCCAAGATCCCAGTTCCAGGATAATCCTGGGTTTGAGAGAAGGAAGCTTCTAGAAAAGTAGGAAGAAAGCAGATTCACAAGTTCTTGCAAGAGCTAGCTGGGGGCTTGGAAGAGAGGAAGAAAGGAAGAGGCACTGAGCGTCAGGAAGGGCGCTGGGGAGCTGGGTAAAGATGAAGGCCGCTGTAGTCTGCTGGCTCTGTGGCTGTCTTTGGGCACCCATGTACTATCATGCTCAGTCTGGCATCCGTGCCCACTCCTGGCTGGCACTGCCGGCTCTACCCCTCTAGAGGGCTGGACTAAAGCTGAGCTCCATCCCCCGCAGGCCTCTCCAGCACACCTCTAAGCCTACCCTGTCCCCCACAGGTCCACCTGTCACTGTCCCCACCGCCACCCCACACCACCTACCACTCCTGGCACCATTTACATCCACGCCATTTGGGCCATAAAAATACCAGCCCCCACCCGAGCGGTCATCGCCTTGGGAAGGGGCTTCCCTGAGCACATGCAGTCAGGGATGCTCAGAGAGACCATGCACTGTGGCCTATGGCTGCCCAGAGTAGAGCATCCACCTCCCACCCTCCCTGGCAGCCCGGTGGAGGGGTCATGTGACTAAGTTTCAGTCAATAAGGTGAGGACTCCAGCCTCCCCTTCCTCCTTCCTGGTCTGGCTGACTGCGCTGTTCAGGAGCCACACGGAGCCCCCTCTGCACAGATCAAGAAGGCACAGGCAGAGCGAGCCTGCGCCCTGACGCCACAGAGCTCTGAGGGCTGTGTCAGCAGGGCCAGGACACCAGCCACTTCCGTGCAAGGATCTCAGTCACCCCCCACGGTCACTTCTCAGCACAAAGTCAGTGCGTCTCTCTCAGAGTTGGATCTGGGGATGAGGCTTCCCCTAGCTACGCTCTGTGGCCTTCTAGAAGATGCCGCCTCAGCTCACGTGTCCGGATCAAATGGGTCCCCATTGACCCAGTGGAATTCGTCCCCAACTCTCCGCAGGCCAATCCAGGGCTCCCTCCTCGTGAACTTGAACATGAACTCCTATAAAAAAGAAAGGTACGGTCAGATGTGTCCCCAGACTCCAGCACCGCCCCAAGACAAAGCTCTGCGTGGGAGACCGTGGCTGTCAGGATGGGCAGACACTGGAAGGCTACCTCGCCACGCCAGAAAAGGAGCATTCTGAGCTGAGTCTCCCATCCGTCACGTGGGAGTTCTGTCCAGCGTTGGTCACCCAACACTCAGCAGTTCCTCTGGCCAGGAAGCTAACAAGGCCCCAGCACTCTGCCCACTGGCTGGACTGGACCTCTGGGACAAAAGCCCAGGCTCAGGTGGGTTGTCCTTCCCCTTATTCTAGAACTTTCTCTACACAAGGAGGCAGAGAAATTCCATGTACCAAAGACCGACAAAAATGATCGTTAACACATCTGCTGTTTGGAAATGCCACATGGCCAGGCTTAAACCCCAATGTAACAAGGGATTTACTGATGGGAATCTACCTTGTCCTCATAAGCTAGTGCTGTCTCCATGGCCCACAGACCTCCCACCCACCTCACACACACCCCCCACACACACCCCAGGCTGGTTCTCAGGACTTATCTAAAAATATATCCTAGCCAGGCACTGGTGGCTCATACCTGTAATCCTAGCTATTCAGGAGGCTGAGTTTGGAGGATCCTATTTCAACGCCAACCCAGGCAGGAAAATCCACGAGACTCATCTCCAGTTAACCACCAGAAATCCAGAAGTGGCACTTAGCTCAAAATGGTAGAACATGAGCCTTGAGCACAAAAGCTTGGAGACAACACCCAGACCCTGAGTTCAAGCCCCACAATTGACAAAAAATAATAACTACTTTCAGTCATAATAAGTAGCAGTACAGCCATTGAGCTTCATAATACCTACATGACCTTCTGCTGAAGCTCCCTGATTTCACAACCTAACAGCTTCCTTCTTTGACTGTATTTAAGGCCCAGACTCTCCTTCCATGTGCCTTTCATATCAGACTCTGTTCCGGGTTCCATGGTGCCCCTCTTCAGCGATGACTGGAATCTGACCTGGTCTGTTAAGGTCTTCTTTGTTTCTGCTTGTCCAGTTGTGCTTTCCTAACATTTATTAATTCTGTTTTTTAACATTACTATTGGCAAAACTGTTTTGGGTATTAAATAGAGAGATCACACATTCTGATTTGCATCGGTATAGCATAAAGCTTTACATTTCATAAGTGTGTTTATAACTTGTGTTTGTGTGTGTGTTTGTGTGTGTGTAACAATACTGGGGCTTGAACGCAGGACCTGGATGCTATCCTGGAGCTTTTTGCTCAAGGCTAGCACTCTACCTCTTGATTCTGGCTTTTTGGTGGTTCACTGGAGAAAAGAGTCTCATAGACTTTCCTACCCAGGCTGGCTTCAAACTGGGATCCTCAGATCTCAGCCTCCTGAGCCTCCTAGCTAGGATTACAGGCGTGAGCCACCAGTGTCCAGCACATTTCTTGTAGTTCATTCTGGGGGAAGGAGATGAGTACTGAGAGTCAAAGCAGCCCTGGTCAGCCCCCGGGGGGGGGGGGTTCATCTGCAGCCCTGTGGCTCTGCAGTGGCCAGGTGACAGGCATAGGGTACTTGGGACACGCTGGCAGTGCGTCTGCATCCTTGCCGGCAAGGGTGGGTGGCTGGGGGCCCCTGCTTCTGTCCTGTGTGCTCACCAGCTCCTTCTGGCTCTGGATGACAGCGAGCGCCGCCTCGTGGCTGTGGCAGTACTGCCTGCCCGTGTTCCAGTCCCTCGGCTCCTCGGAGAAAAAGTAGCATTTCCTGCCGAAGAGCAGCCAGTCCTCCGGGCAGGGCGCTTCGCACTTGATGCAGCCCTTCGAAGCTGCGGGCAGCGGGGAGAAGACGCTCAGTATGTGTCCCTCCCACCTCTGAAACTCTCACTCCTCTTCCCCTCGCTGCCCAGAAACTCAGCTGCTGGCTTGGACACGTGCTGGATGGGAAGCAGGGCCTCCGGCTTGCTGGACAAGCCCTGGACTGCTTGAGCCACGCCCCCAATCGGAACGTTCCTTTGAAAGTGTGCATCTCTGTCCAGTGACCCAGACCTAAGGCGAGGCAAGAAGAGGGCAGATCTGTCCTCTGCCGCCTCCTTGGGGGACCCCGGCCTCCCTATCTCTTACACACACACACACATACACACATACACACACACACACACACACACACATACACATACACACATACATACACACACATACATAAATACATGCATACATATACCTACACACATACACACATATGCACGCATGCCCACACATACACACACACACACACACACACACATACACACACACACACACACACACACACACACACCTCCCATCTCTAGAAAGAAAAGAGCAGCCCCTCTCCTCTCCTTGAAGACAAGAAGAGTCAGCGAGGTAATGGGCAGTCACAGACTTTCTGCAAAGACCTTCCATTATGGGGCTGGGAAGGTGGCTCAGTGATAGAGTGCTTGCCTTGCATGCATGAGGCCCTGGGTTTGATTCCTCAGCACCACATAAGCAAAAAGAAAAAAGCTGGAAGTGGCGCTGTGGCTCAAGTCGTAGAGCGCTAGCCTTGAGCTGAAGAGCCGAGGGACAGCGCCCAGGCCCAGAGTTCAGGCCCCACGACTGGACCCCCCCCCCAAAAAAAAGACCTTCCATCTTTGCCCACCACCTTTATATTTCCTAGCTACTTTCTGGTGTATTCATCCTCATTCCGCTGCTAAAAGACTGTAAGAGCCTCTGAGTCTAAGAGCTGCTGTGGGCTCCACATCTGTGAATGCCTGTGCATGTCGTTATCAACAAAAACTGCTCATCCGTCCTTGCTAGGGGACCGGGTGCACCTCGGGGGGGCTCCTGTCTGTCCACAAGCTCAGCATGCAATCCCTGCAGCGACGCCTTTGCTACTGCGCATCTCCCTGGGCAGAGGCCATGAGGTCATAGTCACCATTGTTTTCGTTCGTGGTAGTCCCGGAGATAAAACTGGGGCTCTCAAGGCTTGCTAGGCAGGTGCTCTATCGCTTGAACCCTGCCTCTCGTGCCATCTTCCATTATTTTCTTTTTGCATTGCTCATTTTCATAGTGGGGGGGGTCTCGCTTTATTCCCTAGGTCCACCTGGACTGTGGCCTCCTACGTGTTCCCCCGCCCTCTCCCCTCTCCCACCGCCTTGCTGGAATAACTGCCACTCCACACGCTGCCAGGCCATTGAGTAAGACGTAGTCTTAACCTAGCCTGAGAGTCCTAGCTCTCTACTTCCTGAGCAGCTAGGATTACAGGCATGAGCTACCATACTCAGCTTTAGCATTTGTTTGTAAACGACTACCCCTGAGTCCAAGGGTCCTCCAAGCAGCAGGGTCTAATAAAAGCTGAATAAGTGTGGCATCTAAAGTCCCTCATCGCTGAACCATCACCTGGAAGCTCTCAAAACACTTGTGAAATAATACCTGTCACCTCCAACTCACCTGCAAGGCCCATAAAGAGGGCATGGGGGTGGGGAAGGTGGCTCAGTGGTGGAGCACTTGCCTAGCATGCATGAAGCCCTGGGTTCAAGTCCTCAGTACCACAGACACAGAAAAAGCCAGAAGGGGTGCTGTGGCTCGAGTGGTAGGCTGTTAGCCTTGAGCAAAAGTTCAGGGACAGTGCCCAGGCCCTGAGTTCAAGCCCCACGACTGGCAAAAATACAAATACAATTTAAAGAAAATTTAGAAGAGGACGCGGGTAAGCCCTGGCCGGATGACTCGAGAGGCCACCATGTCGCCCACGCCAGCACTCTACTTGCAGTCTCCTTGGTGGCCCCCCAGAATTCCTGGTATGCTGGGCCTTCTTCTTTGCTCCCTTGGCCATGCTGGGGGCAAGTCATGTATAAGCGAGGCGGCATCATGCTCTCACATACAGGCAGCAGCATCCCGCTGACATGTGTGCTCACCCAAGATGCTCATCACCACCAGGATGGCAAAAAGCAGGACGGCGATGGCCCCCAGCAAGAGCCGCGTGGTGGTGTCTGAGGAGAGAGAGGGACGTGAATGCCCAGCCCCTCCCCGCCCAGCCCCTCCCCACCCGCCGCCTCCCCACGGCCCCCACCTCCAGCCCCAAGCCAGGGCTCCGCCAAGCCAGCTGGGTTGTAAAGAGCACTCCAGGTGACTCTGATGGCCACCAACTGAGAACCAGTTCCAATTCTGCCATGCTCCCACTTGAACACCGTCATGACAGAACACAGACTGTTTCTTTGACAGTCAGAGCTTCCCAAGCCGGAATCGCTAGCTGGGTCTTTACACTGTCCCAGACATCTGCCCGACGGGCCCGAGAAATAAGCCACTCAGCCATCCCAGGCCTGCAGCGAGGAGACTCACCCTTGGCCTTCTCCTCTCCCACCCTGACCGATGGAAGTCCTGCCTTCCTCTAACCATCTCACTTGATCCTCCGAGGCTGGGCTTGAACTCAGGGCCTGGGTGCTGTCCCTGGGCTTTTTTGTTCAAGGTTAGCACTGTACCACTTTGAGTCACAGCTCCACTTCTGGCTTTCTGGTGGTTAACAAGATAAGAGTCTCACAGACTTTTCTGCCTTGGCTGGCTTTGAATCATGATCCTCCAATCTCAGCTAAGATTACAGGCATGAGCCGCTGGCACACATCCATTTTAACTATTTTTAAATAATTAATAGCCAGGAAGTAGCCAGAAATAATGGTGCGTGCCTGTAACCCAGCATTAGAGAGGTTAAAACAGGACGATTTTGAGTTCAAGGCCAACCTGGGCTACTTAGTGAGACTTCATCTCAGGAAAAAGAAAAGCTAAGAATTAAGCACAGCTAGCCAGGCACTGGTCATCTTAGCTACTCAGGAGGCTGAGATCTGAGGATCACAGTTCAAAGCCAGCCCAGGCAGAAAAGTCCCTGAGACTCTTATGTCCAATAGGCCACCAGAAAACTAGAAGTGGTGCCGTGACTCAAGTGGTAGAGTGCTTGCCTTGAGCTGAAGAGCTGAGGGACAGTGCCCAGGCCCAAGTTCAAGCACTACGACAGACAAAAACAAAACAAAACAAAACAAAAAAACAGAATTAAGCACAGCTGTCTGTTTTCAAGCTCTCATCTTCCTAACAGAAGCTCCCATTCCATCGGTTTTCTGTTATAGATATATCATACACATGGACTCATACCATAGTTGTTCTTTGATGGTGGGGTTATTTCACTTAATATTAATATTTTCAGAGCTCTATGTTATAGTAGGTATCACAACTGTATTCCTTTTTATGGCTTGATATTATTCTATTATGTAGCTACGCTACATTTTTATCTGATGGTGGATACTTGTGTTGTTTGGCTATCATGAATTTTACAGCCATGAACATGGTATACAAAGACTTTTGAGTCCCCAGTTTCAGTTCTTTGGGGCATTTGCCATGGAGCGGAATTGTTGGATTGTATGGTAATTCTGCTGAACTTTTTGAGGAAAGTATCCAACTGTTTTCCACAGCGACTCGCCATTTTACATTTGCACCCCCAATGTAGCGGGTTCCGGTTTCTCTACAGCCTCATCCACAGTTGTTGACTTATTACTATTATTCTTTATTATTATTGTTGTCCTACTAATGTGAATTCCCTTTATGAATGTTTTGGGGGAGATCAATTTTTTTTAACTATTTTGCCCATTGCATATATATATATAGGTACATTTAATTCCACTTAGTGGTTAGGAATTAAGCAGAATATATAGAGGAAATTCACATTCAGTCTAGAACAGCTTACATGGGACTCTCTGACCTGCTCCCTAACTAGTTGCCTGAGAATTGCTCTGCCTCCACGAAGTGCTGTTTTCCTTCCATTCCCATTCATGAATTCTTCTTGAGTCGCACCTCCCAATGGCTGTGTCAGAAGAGCTGTAGTACAATCAGTGTACCGAACAACTCCAAGGAGCAAAACTCCTCATTGCATTCCAAGGTCAGTGGGAGCCCCGGAGCTGTGAAATTAGAGCATTATAATTTGAACTTTTTTTTTTTCAGAATTTTGAAGGTATCAGCTTCTCACTCCAGTGTTGCTTTTGAAAAGTCTACATCTGTTCTCATCCATGAGCCATTTCATTTTAATCACTTACTTTTTATTCTAAATGGAAGTTTACAGTCTTTATCACACATAATTTTAACTTGTCATCTTGTAAGCCATGCTTGGTTTTAGCCTACCTTTCTTCCCTCTAGCTAGCCATCAATGGCCCTTCAATCTGGAAATTCAGATCCTTCAAGTCTATGAAATTGTCTTCAATTATATCATTGAAGATTTCTTCTTGGGTTGATCTTCCAAACTTCTCATCATTTGTTTTTCTCGAATTAGCTGTCTCTTTACCCTTTTGCTCTATTTCCTCCATTTTATCTTACTACCCTTCTGCTGTGTTTTTCATTTCTGCAATTATATTTTTAATTCCCAAAGATTTTTAGGTTTATTAAAGCTGGATCATGTCTATCCCCTCTTGTTTTGATGGTGTAATTTATCTCTTTTCTAAAACAGATAGATAGATAGATAGATAGATAGATAGATAGATAGATAGAGATAGCTGATAGTTCTTCTTGATGTGGAAGGAGGGCTGGGAAGAAAATGTATGTTTCTGTGTACAGTCTCTATTTCTTCATATGGCTTAGGGATCTAGATGGGTTGATTCTGGGGCTCTTTGGCTGTCATAAAATCCTCTTGGACAGATTAGAGTTCCTTGAAAAGGTTCTTCTACGTTCTCTTCTGGAGGTTATAAACTTGGCTAGGGCTGTTCCCAAGAAGACTGGTCCTCCACAAGAGGACTGGTCCTCCCAAGAGATGGTCCTCCACACTCAGTATAGAAGGGAGACTGCAGTTCTTTCCCTCGGTGTACAGGGCGTACAGGCCCTAACACTGGAGAGCTCTCACCACAAGTTTCCACCATGGAGAGATACTGTTTAGAATGGGGATCTAGAGCCTTCTGAAAGAAAAGTTCTACCACTCTTTGACCTTTCTTCACCCCGAATCCTGAGTCTTTGGGGTCTTCATGTGCTTTTTTTCGGCACTTCCTCATGCAGACTAAAAGTCAGGAGCCACTTAGCCACTTACTCCCAAGATCTCAATTTTGTTGCTCTTCCTTCACCCCAGTTCTAGTTGTGTTATGGCTTTTACACTACCCCACAGTAGCCAGGCATTGGTAGCTCATGCCTTTAATCATAGCTACTCAGGGTCCTGAGATCTGAGAATCAAAATTCAAAGCCAGCCAGACAGGAAAGTCCGTGAGCCTCTTATCTCCACTTACCTACCAAAAAGCTGGAAGTGGTGGTGTGATTCAAGTGGCAGAATGCCAGCCTTGAGCACAGAAGCTCAGAGACAAAGCCCAGGCTCTGAGTTCAAGTCCTAGGACTGGCATAAAAATAAATAACCTCACTCATGTAACTGTAACCCTCTGTATAGTATCTTTACAATAAAAAATTAAAAATAAATAAATAAAATGTTTAAGTGAATAGCCCACTGAGTGCTGGTGGCTCACGCCTATAATCCTAACTTCTCAGGAGGCTGAGATCTGGGGATCCTAGTTCAAAGCCTGCCCAGGTGGGAACAAAATAAGCCCAGAGACAGTGTCCTGAGTTCAAGCCCCACTACGGAGGGGAGGGGAAGGGGGGGAGAGCCTATAGGGATAGCCCATCTCTAGGGGGTTCTGAAGAAAACAACAATGAATTCATGTGATTGGTCATCCATCTTGACCTTCAAGGCCAAAAGAGACATAGAAGTCTTGGAACAAAGCCTCTGCAGACTCCCCGCTCCCCTCGCCCCCCTCCCCACCCCCCACCTGCCGAGTCTCCTCGGAGCTGCTCAGTAACCCCGGTGGATGGCTGCAGGCAAGGTGGCCTGGCCAGCATTATCTCGACGATTAAAAGCCATCAAATAACAACTTGGTAATTTTTTTAAAAGAATTGAAGAAGCTTTGGCTAAAAGCATGTGTGTGGTTTTGATCAGGAAGTTGTGGGTTTCTGCCTAAGCAAGAAACTTTCAACATTAAAAATTCAGAATTGGTGGTCACTGGGAAATCTATAGCCTGAGGTCGGCAGAGCCGTTCTGTCCCCTCGCCCCGACTTACCCCAGGCCACTTTGTTCCCTCCTAGCCCACCCCCACCCCCCACTGCCAGAAATAGCTCCTCCTGAATCACCTCCAGTGGTTCCAGAACCTTCGGGAGCGCTAGGTCACCTTTCCAGACTCTGCCACAAGCCTGCGTGGAAGGGGCAGCTGGCATCCACAGGAGAGGAGAGCGCGCATGCGCGGGGAATTTCTGCCTGGTTTTCTACTGATGAAGCCACCTGCTCCGCCGAGGACCGTCCTCCAGCCCCAGCCCTCGCCCTGGGCTTCCAGAGCGAAGCAACTCTCAGCTGGGTTGCGAGGGGAAGGCTGGGCACACAGGAAGTGCACTTGAACCCCCTCCCATTAGCCTCCTAAACCTGGGGTGCTGAGCCTCACAAGACAAGGGAAGAACTTTCACACCAGAGGGACCTGTGATGACCCCGTGGGGGCTTCGTGTGTCCCTGGGTGAGACCCCTAGACTCACAGCACCCTCACTAAGCATGGGGCGTACGTGGGGTGACGGGTGAGGGCCGGCCTGAGGTTCACTCCTGGCACGGTGAGAGGACTCAGCGTGATCAGGACAAGACCTCGCTCCTTTCCCTCAAGAGTGCTGGCCTAAGCCAGGTGCCACTGGCTCACGCCTGTCACCCTAGCTATTAAGGAAGTTGAGATCTGAGGATCGCAGTTCAAAGCCAGCCCGAGTAGAATCGTCCCCAAGACTCTTATCTCCTATTAGCCAGCAAAAAGACAGAAGTGGAGGTGTAACTCAAGTGACAGAGTACCAGCCTTGAATAAAAAGCCAAGAAAGAGCCAGGCCCCGGTGGCTCGCGAGATCCGAGGAGCACGTGTGAAGCCAGCCTGGAAAGTCCACGAGACTCAGCTCCACCCGACCACCAGAAAACCCACAGTGAGCTGCGCTTCCTAGTGGAAGAGGGCTAGCTTTGAGTGAAAAAACTCAGGGACAGCCCCCAGGCCCTGAGTTCAAGCCCCATGACAGAAAGAAGGGAAAGAAAGGAAAGGGAAGGGAAGGGAGGAAAAGAAAGAAGGTGAGAGAGAGAGAGAGAGAGAGAGAGAAAGAAAGGGGTTGGGAAGGTGGCTCAGTGGTAGAGCGCTTGCCTTGCATGCATGAGGCCCTGGGTTCTATTCCTCAG